ATTATAAACTGTCTGTATTTTCAACACAAACTTATTAAAAACTATATAAATATATAAATATATTAAAAACTATTGTTTTAATTTTATGAGTTTAATGTGTATGATGTCTGATTATTTTGTAGAATAATAATTAATTGTCTTTATATTCCTTTCCCGTTCTTTGTTTTTCTAATTGTTTATAACAAGCATTAAGTTTTTGCTGTATTATTATCTAGAAATAAAACACCATTAAAGCATTAAAGATTGATCCTATTTAAAAACTAAATTTTTGCTTTATTATTATTTGGAGAAGTATAACAAATAGAAATGCAGAATAAAAAAGCGTAATAGATTATTTCTAACTAAACACTGCCGCCAGGATCAGTATTCGCGACAAAATAGGCTATGCAAGGAGTGGGGGCAAGTATCATTCACGGGAGTCCCGCACAACGGTATGACGCGTCCACTGGGTGAACATTATAATTCTGAACTACAATTGCGATGCGATGTTATAATAATGTTCACCCTCGCTCCTTGCGTAGCCTATTTTGCCGCGAACACTGATGAGAACATCTTTTGCACTAGTCGTAAATATATACATATATGTATACATATATGTATAGCGAGATCAAGCCTCAGGTTAAACCTGTCCCACTCTATTTCTCCTCAAACTTATTGAACTGAAGATTATATAAGACATTTAACATCGTAAATGCCATATGCATGATGCATAATAATTGCGTTTTAGCTGCGGATAAAATCTTGGTAGATTATAAATTTCACTCGTATTGCTCCATATTCTAGAACAGATACAACAGTTTTTTCAACCCTGGAAGAGCAAGTTAGGTAATCTGAGCATCATGCAGGTATTTTAAAGTCACATTTGTAAAAATTTTAATACTTTGCATTTCTGTAATTGTATCGGTATATCCATAATTGCGTTTTTACCTAGCAAATCGCGTTCTTCGATCATCCCTATGTCGTTTCTGCTAGCCTTTAACTCTCGATAATTTAACAATTTTTAGATCTCTTTTGATTGAAGATTCCGAATACTTTGCTGCAAATGAAATGTCAGATTTTCTCCATTCGTCAAAATTTCTTGTACTGGTTTCGCTATTCTTTTGATATTTGCACATCTTAAACAGTGTGATTGACTATTAAATAAAATAAAATTTTTTTGTGACTTGCGAATGACGAAACTCTGAAGTTTATGCTTACTCTTAATAACTTTCCCATTATCTCGGAGATAAATGATTATGCATTTGTTTTCTTAATTATAATTAATAATTAATATTAATTATTGTTTATTTCTTCGTCAGATTAAATGTAAATTCATTTTGAAGTATTATTTGATTTCCTCATTATTTTTAGTTTACAGTAAACAAATGTTATAATTCCTTTTTTTTATTCTATATTATATTGAATCATTTTTATGGTACGGGTTTTCTTTATACAGTGCTTTGTTACGTATAACAAAACTTGGCGTTTCTTATTGCCGGGTGTAGTATTACGAAAATAACCTTATTGCGTTACAATTTATATTATATTCAATGATAAGATCAACGTATTCTGAAAAAAGAAGGTTTCAAAAATCTAGGAAAGAATAACTGGAGATGTGCAAATGCTTAGGCACAACCTGTAAGAATCAAAGTCGCTCAATGAAAACTCACAGTGTCCTATCATTTTTTAAATACCATTCTGTTTTAAATAACTTCGTTTATGAGTTGATAACTTAGCTGCACTTCTTTAACAATGCCTTCATATTTCGAAATGAAGCTTAGCGTTGAATAGCGTGCGCAAAGCTCTCTACAGTAGTCAAGAATTTTTAGAGATAGGTATGGCATTACATTAGATAACGATAATCCTACTCTATCGTTT